CAATATAATGTCACCAAAATATCAATATGAGTTTAAATGAATCATCAAATAATAACTGGTGCCTCCACACGTTGCCAGCAGCTCTCATCATCCTGGAAGCCATGGAGTAGGGAGGACTTATCCAACTTAACCAATGGGAGCCTCAAATAATCTATTTTGGTCAGTCTGTTCAAGCATGACTGACACAAGAAAGGAGCAACAGGAGATTCTTAAAACATTGTTGCACTTCCTTACAAAATCTGCTCTCTACTTCCCAAAGTTGGGGTCAGGACMCTTCTGTGGGTCATGAAACATCAAGTGAGTGTCCACAAAAAATTTCCAGACATAAATTTAAATGCCAATATTTTGTTAACAGACTATTTTCATCATAATTATTGCAAAATAAAAAATAAATAGATTAATAACAAACAAATAAAAGTAGTACTATAGTTATTAGGTATTAGCCATTGTTCTGCTAATGTTTACCAGAGTTAGTAGCAAAGTTTGCAAATGTAAACCAGGAATATCTGGGGTCACAAGTTTCTCTGTTATTTTGTGGTCTGGAAGTAAAGAAGTTTGAAAACCACWGCTTTACATTACACTCCAGATTTATGATCATATGACAATTAATTAATAATAGTTAATAATGACTGGTTATATGATTATATCTTTAAATTCATACTGTGGTGACATTATGTTGAATTTGTAGGTATTTTTTTGCAAAAAAATAAAGAGAGAGAGAGAAAGGAGGAAGACTTCAAACATCCTGAAATAGACCTAGTGACACCACTGGCTAGAACTTATTTGATTTTAATGACCTAAAATTTCACTAATTCTCACCACATGCTCCAAGCATTCATACACCTCATGTGATGAAACTGTGGTGGCCATCTTGAATAAAAACTCACGAATCACAGCGAGTGATGTAAATTCTTTTATGACATTCTAGGCCTTTAGTTCAGAGGGTTATTACCATGTATTTGACACTACTTTTTTTTATTCAATATTTGAATAAATTATTATTGGTGTAGAATGAAGGGACCCATCCTTTTATGAACTYTGACCTCTAACTATAGTTTCAGTCAATCCAGACTCTTTGTACTGTGTTGAACCTGTGACCTGCTCYAAAATTTAATAATCTGCCACAAAAGACAATTCTATTGTTTAAACCTTTAATATGTAAATATAAGAAATCTAATAACATATAAGGAAGTCATAGACATGTCATGCTCAGATAAATACAATATTTGGAAGAAATATTATCCAATAGGAACTGTTGTATGGGAACACAAATGAACTAAAAACAAAACTAAATTCAATATAAATGAATGTATTTCTGTTTGACAAATCTTCCACAGCTGAGTCTTCAGGCCAGCTGACTGTCAGGATGTAGGAGTCCCCACAGAGACAGAACCACTGCAGACCACAGGAGTGTTGGAGTCTGATGCAGCTGCAGGCCTGTGGTGCTACAGGTCTGTATTTTCTCTGTGAAGACAGACAGATATGAAGAAGAGTCAACATTATTTACTGTAGATCACCTCGATACAACATCTCTTACAGAAAAGTCAATGAATTATAARGATAATAACATCAGAAGGGAWCAGTATAAWAATAACARTATAATTACATGTACCATTGTCCACCAGTTTCCCTGTTTACCAGTGTCCCTSTCTACATGWGTCCCTGTGMACCAGTGTCCCTGTCTACGTGTGTCCCTGTCTACCAGGGTCCCTGTCCACGTGTCCCTGTCCACCAGTGGAGTAGGGGTTGTTGCAGTTAAAATTAACATCAAATGTAGAGGAAGTTTACTTCCTCTACATTTGATGTAGAGGAAGTAAACTTCCGATTTCTTCAAAAAGATGGCTCCCTTTACTCCTCACATCTCTGCTTTTTGCAGATGATGTGGTCCTATTGGCTTCAGTGTCCTGATGCATCCCAGTAATCCAGGTAGAAAAAATCAAAAAGAAAAAATAAGTAGGTCCTCTGGATTGGTTCTTCTTTAGTGAAACATTTCATCTCTCCTCCAAGAGACTTCTTCAGTCTGATGAGTTTCAGGTGAACTCAGCCTTATAAGCACTGCCTCCACATGGTGGACAAACAAGTTAGTCACATGAAAAAGAGGGCCATTGACTAACAATAGGCTTGATTTGCTCTGTTGTTCATAGAGGGTCATGTGCCCCATCACCTGACCCGTGTCGTGTTATGTGTATGTAGTGAATGCAAGCAGGGGTTCAACGTCTCCTTGTTTTTGTCTCTCTTTCCCTCATGTTGGTATCATTGGGGCCTTGATTCACACCTTCTGCTTACAGGGGGCTGAGTCATACTTGCAATTACAGCATTGCAGGCGGAAGACAACTGGACACGAAGGCCTCCACCTCTGTTTAACGGTGTACGGTTTTTCTTCAAAAAGATGGCTCCCTTTACTCCTCACATCTCTGCTTTTTGCAGATGATGTGGTCCTATTGGCTTCATCTGATCATGATCTTCAGCTCTCACTAGAGCTGTTCGCAGCTGAGTGTGAGGCGGCCAAGATGAGGATCAGTGCCTCCAAATCCTAGACCATGGTCTTGAGCCGGAAACCAGTAGCTTACTGCCTCCGGGTCGAGGAGGAGGTCCTGCCCCAAGTGGAGGAGTTTAAGTATCKCGGATAAGCGGCAGAAAACGGACGGACGGATCAAATACTTCCTCGTCAACGTCCTCACTGGTGAGCAGGGCAGCATCAGCAGCAATGAACTCAACGGAATAATGTTGGATGGGGTCAGATATCTTTTYTTTTCATCTCCATTTTTAATTTAACAGAACAACAGGACTGAACATCTAACATTGTTAGAATGACTGCTCTTCTTCTCTACTTCTGCTACAACTACATCAACACTGAACAAGCGGCACAGCACCCTTATAAATAGTGGACTAAAACTAGTCATGCACTTCCAACAAAAACAGCATTAAATGCAGTCAACATTTTCACAACTTGAGGACACAAATCAAATATATCAACACTGTCTCAGACAGTTTTCTCCTGCCATTGTTTCCTCTGAGCTTCCCTCCTCTGTCTGCAAAGGTTCTGACGGCAGCTTGCTTCATCTGACTGCAGCTCGGCTCAATCAGCTTCCTGTTCCATGTTAAAGAAAATAGCCTCATTGTTTTGACTCAAAGACACTAAAACTGACCAACTGACCAAACTCATCAAATTAAACCCTAACTATAAAAGCCAAATGTTTGGCACAGATTG